TTTTGATGAAATTCAATTAATGATGGTATTTTTGAGTATTGGGTATTTATTACATGAATTGAAATTTAATTTTTAGTATAGTAAAAGTTGTTCGAATACTTTGCAACGGTTAAACGTTGTATAGAGGTATCCCAAAAACGGATGTTTGACTGTGAGAAGCAGGTATTTTTCGATTATTTTCTTCTTGTGTCGCAGAAGATATACTTTATCAAAAAACAATCCGCCCGGTCATCGGTACGGCCCCCGCCAGCCGTGTTACTGATGCGCTGACGATCGTCGACGATGACGATATTCAGCATAGGGCCCAATGTGTAATTCGATTATAATTCAATCATTATTGCAAGGGCTTAATCTCCAAATGCGGGATTTCATTTGAAACGTTAGAGTAGAAATTTAATTTTTTTACTTATTTCTCGGTATGTGCTATTAATTAGCTATGACATAACCTATTACCTATACATATACATAAGTAGCATAATTTTATATTGATAAGGCGCTTCAAACCTAAATTGTTTTATTTTTTATTTTACTTTATATAAATTTTAGAAAGTGTGTAATATATCACAAGACTGTTCAAGTTGGGAGGTGGCATCGACCTTCGCAGGCCACAAAAAATGCTCACAGAAATTTTTTACTGTTCCCAGGCGACGTAAAACTACAGGTCCAACCAGAACGACCACCACAAATTAAAATGAAAATCACGTCCTAACAACTTAGAAACAGTATACATGCTCTCCATAGGTATGGCACTTGTCATATTGTCTCGAATAGTTTTAGGGTTTTTCGCACTCACCAAACCTCCGCCTATAATTGCAATCTTCAGTGGTGCACGAGAATTGAAACCATACCCATTTCCCGACGACAATGGTATTGTATGCGACATATTTATTACGGTTGCACTCAAAAAAAGTTTTTGCCTTTGCTTTAGTAAAATTCTCGCAATCAAATAACTTATATTTTCGGTATGCTGCTGACACGCTGATGCTGGCCGAGAATCTGATTATGTAGCACTTGACTTATCGCTTCGGTAGATGTAGTCACAATGAAGGAATATGATCAACAAACGCAGCGATAAGTCTAAATGCATATTTAAACTTCATTGAGATTAAGCATATAGTAATAGTATCGCATACAGGCGTGCATATGCACATATGTATTTGTAAGTACTGCGAATAAACGTGTTCACTAGTATACATATTTGAAAAAAAAAAATGCGGCCATATATTAAATGATATACGCACTTAGCAAATATGCACAATAAACCCTTTTGTAGTTTGAAATAATGTATCTAATAAAATGTTGATGTTTGCAACAGCTCGTCTAAGACAAAGTAAATATAAAATGGCTACTAACCGAATAGCAACCTCATTTCATAGAGGGAAGCCTTACTAATGATTTACTTTTGCTTTTAGTAACGATTTTGTGCTTGAATATTCGTTTAATGCGCTACTTTTTACAAACAGAAGTTGTAATGCCACGTTGCTCGAAAACTGAAGTAGCTTCCTGCAAACCACTTGTACAGAGTATTCTAAATTGTAAAGAAATTTTAATGAACTCGTAAAGACCTCATCCGATTTTTTGCAGAATTTTCTAAAATGAAACAAACTGTGCACACTTCGATTCTTTTACGAAATTTTTGAAGAAAATCGGTAAAGCAATGAAAATAATGCTGCTATGTGAAGGATTTCTTGCAGAATTTTCTTTATTTTTCATACAGAAATTTCTTTGTGAGTTCGTGTCAACCACTTCATATAACTTTCATTGAAGATTCGTAAAAAAATTGTTAGATAAATGAGATACTTTCTAAAGATTTCGTTAAGATATCGGGAATTCTGGTGGGTTTGCACTCAATCTTGTTTATGTGCATTTTCTCGCCCCTCAGCAGGCAATGACAAAACTTCTTGAGTGTATTTCTGCCATGAAAAAGCTTCTCATAACATCCATTTGCCATTTCAGCATAAAACTGTAGGTCCCTCCATTAATGTAACAACATCAATAAGCACACCACAAATAGGAGCAGCAGCAAAAGTGTAAGCGCCAAAATAATGATATTATTATATAGTATATTAATGTTATTATTATCATTATAGCAATGTCAATGCCCAATATTTTTTGATTTTGAATGGTGATAGGACACGCTCTAAAATGTGTTGGTAAATTAATAAATTATTTCCATACGCATTTTGAATTGAATTATTGTTATTTTTACGTGTAGTAAAACTCGCAAACTGAAGTAGGATTTAAAGTAAATGAGCTCTGACTCTAGAAGAAATTAAAATGATGTATTTATGTCGCCTATTATCTGTTAATAACTATGTATATTTTTTATTGAAAGTTTTGCATTTTTTCAAAACTATGACTTACTTTCAAATTGTTATTCGCTGATATACTTTCGAGTATTATACATTATCAAATCAGAGAACACCAGCAGATGTTATGCGTAAGCTGCACATGCCACCAGCAGCAGTATAGCAGCTTTTGATTATCCTTAGTGTGCGTTCATTTGTCATAGCAGAAGAATCTGGGGGTATTCCAATGGATAAACGCAAACGAGGTGCTCGGCTCCAATATTCACCTAAAGCTGGACGCATACCTTTGCCACTACCATGGCTTGGTGATGCTGTAACTTCTTCAATATGTTCTTCATATTCTATTATTGTAAAATTTGTAATATTAGAAATATTATTCACATGGCTAGCAAGGCCTTATTGTTTACCTTCATCTTCGGCTGCTAGTGTTTCTTCTTCAATATTCACTAGCAAATTTACATAAATAAAAGCGATATGATGCTCTTTGGATAACTTATACACTAAGTTGTTCAATGTCGTCAACAAATATTTTCCTAAAATAGTAATAAAAGCTTCGTTTTATCCTTTCTAATGACCATTAATAAACGAACCTCTTAAATGCTCCGTTTCCGTGCGATGTGTAAAAAACACTGCCGGCAATGCATCAATTACGACTAATTTTAAATTACTCAAATCTGAGTTGGTTCCAGCCGTCAACTGTGTTAGCAGTTTTTCTAATATATCACATGTGCCTTCAGCAGAGCTTGTACGCTCCACCAGTACTTCTTGCATTATACGCCCACAGTCCTTATTGGGTACATTTCGAGTGCGCAACATTTCCATGACGCGTGTACCTGAAAAGTCACCTTTGGTGTCGATGTATAAAACAGTCCCATGTGATTGCGCCACGAAATTAAGGGCAATTGTGTGACACAATTGAGTTTTGCCAGCACTTGATTTGCCGCAAATTTCCCATATACTACCAGTTTGGAGTGGTATTTTAGCGGTTAGTATATCGAAGCTGCTGGCAGAAAAACAAAGTGCTTGATGAAATTGTTGATCATATCCTTTTTAAAATATGTACTTACTTTTCGATGCCAGTTTTGTATACTTTAGCAATTGTTTTTTTCTTAAATAAAATACATTGCTGGCGCGGGAAATAGTCTTCTCCCAACTTTTGTTTAATTTCCAAAAGAGCAATTTCCGACAGACCCGTAATTTCCATTAATTCTGCATTAGTTGTGATGAGCAGCTCGTATCTCGACGTTATACATCTACGCTGCAGCTTTTTCAGTAAATATGTCGACAAACCAAGCCCATCAAATTGTCCTAAATCGGCCATTAGGTAAAGGAATTTCAACAATTGTCCAAACTTTTAAATCTACTAGAAAATAAAAAGTAACCATTTGGTTTTTGGGCGGTAAACAGCTGAAGGTGGAAATCCGTGTTTCGAAACGGCGTTTGTTCCGATAAATCGATTTTTATGCTCATAATAATCGGTGTTTAGTGTGAAGAAATATTTGTATGGGCCCTGTCACACGTCAGTATTTATTGACGTGATCCAAGTATCGCGATATTTATTGACGGTGTAGCATGCAGTATTGATGGATCGTGACACATATCGCAAGATTTCTAAAAATTTTGAAATCTGGATCGCAATACCGTCAATAAATATTGAACGTGTAGCATTTTCAAACCGCGATCCATACATTTCGTCAGTACATCTTATACTCTCATAATGCGAACATCGAAAACATATTGGCTATGCCTTCGCTTTCGTTGCTTAAAACCTTTCAAAACAAATTGAAAAAATTTTAATTAGCATTGTGGAATCCTAAATTATTCGTGCAAAATAAAAATATTTTCTAGCGTCATATTAAGCGCTCAGCACAAAAAATGTGCAAATACTGACGCGATAAATATTGAGCATGTAGCATTCGTGCGCGATCCATCAATTCATCAATATGGATCGCGATCCAAATATCGTGATAATAGTTGCGTTCGATAAGTCAAAAATTTGTAATAGTTTTTCCAAATTTTTACTGGATGGCGTTCGATAACGACAAAAAAATATCCAACACATAAAAATTGAGAGAGCAAGCGTTCATTCTGATGCAAGAGAAGTAGAGGTGCAAAACTATCGATGGCACTATCGATAGTATCGATGTTTT